AACGCGTTGGATTCTCAACGCGTTGTTGAGATCTACATGGCGATTGTTCATCAGTAGATCTGAATGACCAATTATCATTCATATAAAATTATATGGGATTCTATTGGTTATGCCCAGGGCGCCGGTGCAGAATTCCATACACTAATTGAAACCACGCTAATTTTGCAAAAACCTACCCACGAGGGGATACCACCACGGCGCTGGTGGTGATTGAGCTCTTTTGCCCTAGTGGCCTAATAAGTATTTATAAGAAAGATCATGCTTGATTATATACGCGTGAGATATAGTGCTGAGAATCAGTGGGGCATTGCTCCGTTTCATATAATGAGACATTCTAGGTTCCAAGTTGTAACAGAATCCTTGATAATAGAACCTACCAAATCCTTGATCTTACAAGATAAATTAATAGTAATATTAGTATGATAAATAGTAGCTAATCGCTAAGAGAAGAATGAGGAAAGAAGAGGAAAGAAGATATAGACATAGAAATAATGGTAGCGAGAACATAATAAGGAAATAATAAACGGGTGAGAAATGCGAGTATTGAAACACACCAAGATAGAGTTATCCACGGGTCGCGTTATCCCCCTCCCCTTCTCTGCACATGTAATTTCGGTAGTTATCCAGCTCTGTTTAATGTAGTTTATGATGAAATATTTAAGAAATTATTATATATTATTAAGTGCGAGGAACTTTTTGTTTTATTTTTATAATTTTATAGATCTAAGGAAATTTGATTCGGGACAGTAAGTTTGATATTAGGACAGGGTACTCCGTAGATCATGGTAAGATCGCCTTGTGATCGTAAAGTTTCCCGTTAACCAATAAATAATGTACCCTGCATGATGTTCTAATTGGCTGAACTGCAATGACTAAAGCCACTCGTGTCAAACTTTGGTTAGAAAGAAATATTAAATTCATTTATCTATATAAAGATCTGATTTAAATATAATAGAGAAGATATAAATAATTATAAAGCATTGCATCTCAAAGACGAAATATAGGAGATAGAGACGAAAAAGAAACTATAAGAGATATGAGATTTAATTACGCAGAAGATACAGACTTTGATTAAATCAATTTTATAAAGATTGAATAACTACTGTTCTTAAGATTAATAATGATTTAATATAATATTAATTGAATCCAAGTACATATAGATATTGTCTATTGATTTAGCTATCTAATATATGTAAAGTCATTTGATTTTTCCATTGGCAATGGAAAGAGAATAAATGATATCTACAATCTCAGTACCGAATATGCTGACTTCCTTGCCACTAATGCACATGCACTGTGGGTTCCTGGATGTGGCTGAAAAGTTGGTTCCCAGGCACCTTGGTTTCCCGCACCCTAACAAAACACGCGGCAAACGGGGGTTAAAGTTTAGTAAAATTGATGACTTTGTAAAGAACCAAGTTGTATATATTGTTGGGGGTTTGGATTGGTTCGTCGCCTCTACTACCAGCATGGTGCTGGTGGTAATCGAGTTCTTTTGCCCCACATATCAAACAATCATAAACGCCGCGCGTTAAGGTATCATAACATCTATGCGTATATTTCTATGCGTATATTGATCAACGGTTAATGGGTTATTGAATCGAGTTTTATATCAAGCGTTAATTTGGGTAGGACATCGTGAAGCAACAGTATTCGAGTATTCGTATTTGGTACTCGCATAGGTTCTAACCGTGTTGGTGCTCAGCATTTCTCATCGAATTCAAGATTTGTGCAACTATGACCATCCATGGCAGGCTAATGAGACTAGTTCAATCGCAAATCCTGAACCGCAATCTCGTTCTAGATTCCTAACCGTTTTGCCAAGTGATATGAG